ACACCTCTTCCAGCAGCAACCTTAGTTTTTCCCAGGAGGTCTCCCATCCAGGTACTGACCAGGCTCACACCTGCTTAGCTTCAGTGGGTTGCCAGTTGTTTGTTGCAGGGTGATATGGCTGCTGGCATGTGTAGCCTTTATTTTTTGAGACATTTAGTCTGTACAGAAACATTAAAATACATAATATTGAAAACATACACAAGACAGAACGGAAACAATGGAAACAGTGGATGACATTAGAAGCCTCATTTTATAAACTTATTAACTTGATGATTCTCTGTACATAACTGGATACTCTTTTTCCATTGCCCCAGTAAGATCATAGCACCTGGGCATCATCATCTAAAAGACTGATTACAAGACAACAACAACAATAATAAAAAATACAGCGAAGCAGCTGGATCCTTAAGTGATTTTCTCTGCTCTCTTCAGTCAGATATCTGCTTGCTGTTTATCCCAGCATCCCAAATTGAAATAAAGTCTAATAATAAGCAATCATTTTTATGTATTTGTTGCATAAATGATATATACCCCAATCTTATACCCTTGATTTTTTTCTATGAAATCTGCGAATGTGTCATTCATATTATACCCCCCACACTCTCCTTTGACTGTCCATAAATAGGCCATTGCCTTAGTATCAAGCTAGATGCTCTGTGATCCTGTGATTTAACAACAGGGAAGAGAATAAAGGCACTGTTAACAGTATTTGAACCACAATTCTAACATCATGAAGAAGTCATGATGTTTTACAGAGAGTTGTAATTCTGAAAGCGCATGATGTCTTGTCAAATAGAACGATTTTCGGTATAGCCTTTGTCTCCTATGAATTCTACCTTTCGGTGCAGAGAAGGGCTTAAGAGCAAAAGATTTTAAGCTCTGAAAAATGCTTTTGTTAACTATGATACACAATGTGAATGACCTTCAAAAGCATCCATGTTTACAATTTTGCTTATAAAATGTATTGTATGCAATTCTGCTTTAAAAAAATCTACTGCTTCAAATATGATATAAACCAAATATGGAGCAGATCCAGAAAAAATTATAATACCATGTTTAGTAGTCTTCTGAATCATCATTGAGAACTAGATAAAAAATACATTTATACATAAAAAAAACATTAAAAATATTAAAATGCACGAAGCAGAGTATACAGTATGTAAACTGCCTTGAGATGTTAAATCATGAATACCAATCAGTGTAGAAGTCATTGAACTAAAAAACAACAGATCAAATATATTTTAAAATGAATAAGCCTCACTACAAACATAGAAATGCTATTTTTAATTGTTTATGTTTTTCTCTTCATTTATGTGTAAGATAACTTAATCCATGTAGTGTTTCGTAATGTCTACTTTTTTTTCTAAACTTAGGAGATACATACAGTAGAGATATCAGTTTGACAAATAGTGAGATAGTGAAATATTTATTTGAAATAGTGACAAATAAACAAGGATGTGAAAAGTACAGGTTTTAAACTGGAATAACGTTTGATAAGAATGATTACTTAAAAAATCTCTTCTTCTTCTTAAAAATGTGAACTCCACAAGGTTTATTTTATTTTATTGTGGAAGAACAGATTGGAGTGGGTGGATAGCACAAAAATAAAAGTTCGATAGATTACTAAAGAACAAAGCACTACACTATTTGTCAAACTGATATCTCTTTTGCATGTATGGAATGAAAGATGCAGATCTTATCTTATACTGGCAATATAATATATTACCAGTATAAGATAAGATCTGCATAATAGGAATAATATAATATAAAAAGGAATATTATATTATCACATAAAATAATATAATATTCCTTTTCAGTTTGACTGGAAGGAGCAAAGAAACGTTTGTGAAACAAATCCCATCAATCAAACTGTATATGGCTTTGATGTTGTATTAAAACTTTTCATAGCTTCTTCAAAAAAAACAAACAAACAAGTTGTTAGACATGACTTCCCTAGATAAAACTAATGCCTGTATAGACCCCTTTGTCTCTGGCTCAGTCATCTTTACTGATGATGTAATTAATAATGACAGTAGCAGAATGAATTCTGAAGTCTGCAGAAACATTTAATCTGCTTTTGCAGATTGGGCGGCAATTTGTCAGGCAACATCACAATAACCTAAAACATTTAGCCAATGCAACCATAGAGCTCATTCTGAGAAAAAAAATAGAAATGCTTTGTATGAGTTACTGTATATTATTGTCATAATCACAAATACAAATTATCTGAGTGTAAAGCAAAAATGGCAATTTTGATGTTTTCCGGTCACTTACATTTTGAAGGAACAGATATTTTTTAAATAAATTAAAGGCCTTCTGAAATTTAACATGGAAATTACTTTACCAGTTATATTTGATGAATTCTGAATTTATTTTTCCTTCTATTATCTACTGTTCTTTTAGCTAATAGTTTCCTACAATCTCCCTTTTCTTTTGTCCCTGAATGTGCCTTTTTATTTTTATTTTTTTATTTTGAATGTGCAAAACAGACCGTTTTCCTCAGTTTCAACCAAAATCTAACTGTGTGCTTCACTCGGCTGGAAAATAGTAAAGTTCTCAATCTATCGTTTTCTGGTATCGAGTGGCAAATCAGAGACTGAAGTTGACAGATATTTCTCTTCACTCCACTTTTCCTATGGAGCTTTATTCAATATTTTTTGACACTAATGAACTTCTGATGAAAACATTAGACAGAGTAATTATATAATATATTCAGTTTATTTTAGCACACATTTCTTTGTCTTGTAATTCAGTCATAAATTATAGCACAGGATATTTATTTTTGGACGATTTGATCCAGAGAGAATGGCACTAACTACTAGTCCACCGACACTACTTGTTTTTTTTCACCAAATCACTTGTAGCAGCAGCCTTGTTATTCTTGGAATTATGAATCTTCCATCTCAATACTGACTAGGCTTAGCCTTGCATAGTCGCTGAGCTTTTTAACTAACAGTGTCTAGATAAGCTGGTAATATACTGTTAATTTTTTATTTAGGTGTTTGATAGACACTGTAAAACAAATAACTGTGCAAACAAATGTGAAAAGCATACTTTTTATGATCTTCGGACTCATTGGCAGATACTGTATGGAAAAATCTTTAACAGCTCTTGCGTTTTTAGATGAACAGTTTTGTGGACATGTTCCCATTTCAGGCAATTTGCCAATTCACTGTTCATGAATTCACATAGTTTAGATTGTCTAGTTTTTCCAGGAGAATATTAGCAAAGCCACATGTCACTGTCATATCTCAAATAACATCAGTTCTATAATCTTGATTTTCTGTCCCTTTTTAAGGGGTGTCTGATAATTAGAGGAGTTTTACAAATCCAAGAGCTAAATTTATTTTTTTGGTGATTTACAGACCCCCAGGGCCTATATGAACCTCTGAAGCTTTAGGAATGACATGAAAAACACATGAATCTAGTCATAACAGATCAGAAAAATATATTTCAGAGTGTAGAATGGAATATTTCAGTGGTGTAAGAGGTTTTACACATTTAGTTTTCCAAAAGACAGCTATACTGTAGATATGTACAGTACTCTCAGCAGGAGTCTCAATGAAAGGTCCATCTTGGAAATGGAAATGATACTCTTTTTAAAACTTTAAAATTTGCAGTAAATATTTCAATAGGAAAGTGCATTTTGATAACACCAAGCCACCCATATTTAGAGACAAAACAACTCTGAAAAATAACTTTCAGCACCTGTTTTCTGTACTGAGTGGGTCTTTTTTCCTCCCCTCAGGATATGACCATTGCAGCTGCCTGTGCGCCTCCTGGAGGAGGTCGCAATCCGGTCACCCCTCGATTCATCAGACATTTCAGCATGCTCTGCCTGCCTACGCCCTCCGAGCACAGCCTCAAACAAATCTTCAAGGTCAGCTATACACTCACGTACTGTACAGTATACTGTATACTGTACTGTATATACTGTATGTAGAAGACGGCAGGGTGTGAACTGATTAGAAATCGGTAAACTCATGTTGTGCAAAAGAAATGAAATCTGGCAGAATCTCTGGAAATAAGCATGTCATTGATTTATTATATTATTCCAGATTATTGAGCCAAATTTCTGTCACAAGGACAGGACAAACACAAGAGTCCGTGTTGGATAAAACAGAAAGACCATGCTCGTTCTCATATGGAAACACACATGGAAACCAGTTTTAATCTATTATCAGTTTGGTTTTCATCTCATCAGTTTGGTTTTATATAATAAGATCACTGTATTGGCCAAATACAATTTCTTGTATTAGGAATTTGTCTTTTTTCGCATACCCCAACTTGCTCCATGAGACACACAAACAGGTGAAAAGCTTGGGGTAAGAGCACAGGGTCAGCCATTTATACAGCACCCCTGGAGCAGCTGGGGTTAAGGGCCTTGCTCAGGGGCCCAACAGAGTAGGATTCCTCTGCTGGCCACAGGATATGAACCGGCAACCTTCCAGCCACAGTAGCAGATCCTTAGCCACAGAGCCACTGCACCTCCTGCTGGCTTATACATTGCAAGTTGCCATAGAACATTCAGCAATGGATTTATAGAATTGTGCTTTGCAATATGGAATTAAGAGAAACTCCGTACAGAGTTATTTTTAAAGAGAAAAGTTTTAATTATTCAAAACAAAGACAAAACACCGTCTGTTATGTCTCCAACAGCCTTGCAAATGTATTTGCCTCCTTTCAATGATACAAAAAGATACAGAATGATAAATAAATGAGCTGTAAATAGAATTGAAGTTGATACAAGTTCAGGATCAGGATACAAAGTTTAACTATATACATAATGCTGTTTCTATCATGCAAGGAGCCCATCTTAATATGAGAGGTTAACATTTATATTCCAATATGTAATACTTTGTTTAGGCCATCCTAAATGGGTTTTTAATGGAGTTTCCTCAAGCAGTTAAACAAACTGCGACGAGTATTGTGGAAGCTGCAGTTGAAATCTACAGAAGAATGAGCATTGATCTCCTTCCTACACCTGCCAAATCACATTATGTGTTCAATCTGCGGGATTTATCAAAATGCATGCAAGGTAAGTTTGTTCTGACCTCTCAGCTATTAATATTTTGAAGGGTTTTATATTAGATGATTAAAAAGGTTTATTGTTAAAGGTTTAAATAGTTTTTACAGGGTAATGTAATGAGATGGAGTGTCCTCATTAAATCAGAAATGAAGATCCCTCTACCAGCATGTTTTTAGAACCAGATTTTTTTTTGGAAAAAAAACACTTGAGCACAGATTACACACAGAAAAGTGTTCCAGCACAGAACCCAATCTGGGACACTAGAATTTACACTGCTGTGTAACATTTTGATTGTACTGTATACTGTACAGTAGCTCGTTTTAAATGATTAATCTCTTTAATCTATTAATCTTGTAATAATAAATTATTTTATTGTTCTGTATTTACTTAGATGATGCCCTTATCTAGGGCAATTTACAAAATAAAACAAAAGTGGATTAAAAAAAAAATATATATTTTCCATACACTATCTAATCACTTAGCTAAGCTTTCACTCATTTTGCTCATGCAGACTGTTTTGATTGGTGAAAGAGTAGTGATATTTTTCAGCTAGGCCTCTATTTTCTATTAAATACCTCTATTTAAACTGTAAAAAAAACTAAAAATAAAATTGCATTCTCTTCCTTTGCTGCCCTGTATCTTTCAAAGAAAAAATGTACTTCTTTTTAATACAGCACAAAAAACAATTGGTTACTAGATAATTATTTGTTTATCTACGTTCGCTCAGGAATCCTTCAGTGTGAGCCAGGAACTGTGCGGGACCAGAATCAGATCTTCAGGTTGTTTTGTCATGAGTGTCAAAGGGTATTCCATGACCGTCTTATCAACAATGAAGATAAAAGCTATTTCAACT